ATTGTAAATACACTACTTTGGTATTACATGAAGCTTTTTATTTTTAAATAGTTAGCAGCATTAGAAAGTAAGAATATATCTATTATCATAAAGGCTGGCTGGCATGGTTTAATAAACATGCCATGTACTTCAAAAACGTAAATAGATGTATAAATGAATATTTAAAAACTGCCATAATCCATATAATTATCAATAAAAATACAATAATCCGAATGTGTTTGTGGATTTGTTGAAAGGGAATTTCTAGCTAGTTGTGAAACAGTTTTATTCCAATAATATGACACAGGAAAATAAACCAGCCAGTGAGAAGTAAGATTGAATATATTTTTTATTAATTTCATTTACTCAGCATTTTCCATTTACAATTAACCTTAAAATAAACTGTTATTTATCACAGTTAAGTAAAAACAAAAAAATTAACAAATATAGAAAGCTGACTTTTCAGATTAGATACTTCTATCAAATCAATGTGATCAATAAATTACTAAAAAAACACATGATAAAAATGACCTCTAGCGGTTTATCAGTTTCCAAAAACATCTAATTTAACGAACAAGATAAATAAATATATTTGTTACATTTTAAGGACATTTTTATTTTTTTATTTTTTTTGGTTTTCAGGAGTAAGTGAAATAAACATTTCAGCTCAAAAAAAAATTAATTTTCTGGCCATAATTTGTGGTTTCAGGCATTAAAGGGTTGGGCAGCCTAAGCAAGTCTAAAACTGAGTTTTTAAAGCAGAGTTTCATACAAGGGGGGAGCTCGGGGTCGAGATTGTCACTACCTACTTCCTACATGTGCTTGATACTTCACCGTGCAGAGCTCAAATGACAAACACTGCACATACTCCACATAGGCAACATAATCTCTTCCATGTGATCCGGCCGACAGAACAATAGCGTGGCTGGATGTGATGGTGAGGTAATGAAGAGCTGATTTGCTCGAACTGCAGGGGCCATTAACAACTTTCAATACCAGCATGACGCATGCAAATGAAATGAACAAAGAGAGCCAAGGGCAGCGAGCTAAGAAGACAAAAGTTCACAGGCCCACGTATGAACGGAGGAAAGGAAAGTAAGAGAGGGTGAAAAGTAGTGTCAACCTGGGAGGTCTGACGCTGCCTGCTCAGATCAGACGCTTGTCAACACTACAGTAAAAACAATTTCCAAACTTTTAGAGGTGGAGAGATGAGAAGACTTCCTTTAAAATAAGTTCTTCTCACACTGACCTCACCCGTCTTTGTCCAACTTTACCCCTCCACGAACATAGGAAGTGTTCGTTCCAATGAAACCCCAAACACTTAGCAGCTGTTTGTTTTTGCTGACTCACGTCTACCACCTTTGTGCGTGTGCTGAAAACCATTTTCAAAACGGTCAGTTGGAGTTTAACGGCAGCAACCGAAGTGAATAAAGTTGGAGTGGATCTAAAGTAAAGATTTATTTGACCCCAAAATATTCATGAGTTATCGAGCCAGCGTTCGCTAATGATCCCTTTGACTCTTGTATGCCTGGCTTAGGTCTCCAGCACCTGTCAGCTCCACTGTTTTTATGAGCGCTGCAGGCAGGAGTGGATACAGAGCAGAAGGGGGAGGAGAAGCAGGGAAAAAAGAGGAGGAGGAGGAGAGGGAAAAGAGATATTTGTGAGATTTATAGGCTGCGGGGTGGCACACAGCACAGCAGAGCAGATCTCACTTTCTCTCTTGTGCACTGCAGAACCTCTTGGCATTATCAACCATCTTTGATGTATCATCATTCATGATCACAGCTTAGACTTCGACTTCACACTAAAAGGTCATCCTCTGTGAGGCAGTGAAGTAGCCAGCAATAGAAGATAAGTTGATATGTTGGGGACAGGGGGAAATATTAGTCTTTAGTCAAGTAAAAACAAGGAACTAGTCTTCTCTACATCCTTGTTTATGAGGTTGGCAAACAAGACACAATCTAAACATTGTACACCGATGTTTAGACTGTGTGTTTACATTATGTCTTGCATGTAGCTGTTAGTATTTTGTCTTGATAATATTGTATAGATGTCACACCTCACCTGAAGAACCTGAAGGAATTTGCATAAGACATGCTGTGGATATTCTCACACTCATTTCAAAGGTCAAAGGTTAATTTATTTGTACCCTCAGGTAAATTTTGTTTGCAGTCGATCACATGTATGACAGTAGACGAACAAACAGCACAGTACATGCAACAGGACACACATATAAAGTGACAACAATGCTCGGGGGTAAGAGATGAAAATAAATCAAATACCGTATTTCCGCTCTGAAAGGCGCACTTGAAATCCTTTTGGCTTTTTGGAGCACTGCAGCTACCGAAGTCTCACAGAGTTATTGAATGAGTTTGACTTATCTGACTGTTTTGTTTGGCTTAATGCGCTTTATAATCCAGTGCGCTTTATAATCCGGTGTGCCTTATAATCAGGTGCGCCTTATAGTGCGAAAAATACAGTAATCAAATTAGACAAAATAAAACGCAGTAAGCCCAAATAAAACCAACAGCCCTCGAGGTTTCTTCCCCGTGTTAATGTGCCCGATGGTTGATGGAATAAAACTATTTTTGTACCACTTGGTTTTACAGGCTGGTACCTTGAGCCCCACTTTCCACTGTATCCAGAATGGGTACAAAAAGGCCGCATTTGTCAATAGCAGCTGATCGTAACCATTCAAGTTAATGTGTCAATTTCCACCGGCTTCTTTCCGTTCCGCTGCGGATCGCCGGACTCCACAGCTGATCGCAAGAGTTCTATTTTTCCCGGAGCATGCCGGATAAATTCAGCACAGATTAAGCCATGCCGGAAAGGAAGTCAGGCACAGACACAAAATAAAACATCCGGCTTCTTTTCAAAATAAAACACTGTATTTCAGGCGGATCCTATTTCACACCACGCAAACAGGCAAGGCTGAACAAGTGAAAGGTTTATAGACAACATTTTATCCCGATGACACCATGGAGGAAGAGGAAGTCTAGAAGTAGATTTCCTCCTCTGGAAGGACACAATCTACTGCTTATATGTTTAGCCAATGTGGCTATAGAGACAACTTGTTATCGCACGATTGCATCCGCAGGTTCTTGCAAGTTCTTGTGATTCCTGCTGTTTGTAATCTGACACGAAATTTGTCTCACGAACTGAGCCGGTAGGATTTGTTCCCGATCGGCGCTGTTCGGGATTCAGTGGAAATCAGGGGTGAGGCTCCTGCCCGATGGGAGCAGCTGAAACTCAACATTGAGAGGGTAGGAGCCATCATTTAAGATGGAGCCAGCCATCCTCTGTAACTGCTTAGTGTACAGGGATGGTGGGTAGAGCTTTCTTCTCTCTTTTCAAAATGTTAATGAAACTCTCAGCTCTCTATTATACTGAACTAAGAAACTGAACAGCATTGTATCTGATACATTTGACCCAAAAAAGAGAAATTTGGTACACTTACTCCATTTTAGTGTAGCTAGCTTACTTTGCAATCAACAACATGAACTCTGAGGTTAACTTTGTGTAAATGACACAAAAAGAGGGACCCCTGAAACTGTTTAAATTAAGTCTCACTCAGAGCTGGGCCCCATGAGGTCCCGATGGCCTTGAGATCCCCTTGCCTTAATATGTTTACGACCTAAGAGTCAAACCCTGCAGACTAATAGAATTAATGTTGATAAACATGCAGAAATGAACACCCACAATAAAGACATCAAGAACCTCATCAATCAGTCTGATAGGCTTAATAACCTCCAAACAGAACGACCACAATCACTTACATTTCAACACAAACAAACTAATAATATAATAAACTCAGATAAAGCTATTATCAGAGGAAATTTGTCAGTCTTTATCTCACCTCTGTGCTCCGCACCCCAATATACAAAGACTCTACCTGCTGATAAAGGGATATCAGGCGCACAGTAACAGGGAGGATATCTGAAGCTTATCAGCAAAATTCGCCGTTAACAAGCTCACTAAAACTCCCTGAAATACTCCTATTTGCACATGTGATTTAGCGTTTGTAGCTTTGTTTACTAGCCACTGGTGCACTCTGAATCTTGCAGATTATACAGATTATACAGGGTGATTAAAACAAACAAATCTGGTTTAGTTTTTAGTTTCTGACAAGCACAATCTCGTTCCTCAATCACTGCACTAATAACCCCATAAATTCTGTACCCTCTAGCTTGCAGACACTTGAGCCGAAATGAATAAGATATTCATTCACACAGTTTATATTAGAAATCTTGTAGCTGTTTTTGGCACAATGGGCCCTCTTACAAATTTACGCATATAGTCTTACAGGATTAAAATCAGATCCTGTTGTATTGAGCGTGTATAAAAAGAGCTTTCTCCTCAGCTGGTTTAAAGCGCTCCTGGCCTCTCCCTTCTAGATAAACAGGTGAAATCTTGTTTATGATAATGACCTCACCCTGTTGTGTCCTACTTACCAAGAACTCTGATACAGTAAGATTAGAGCTGTCAGTCCTGGGCCCCTGTAGATATGAAAAAACTCAATGCTGTGACTTTTCAAACTCACTCACATGTCAAGAGAATCATTGTACGACTACAGATCTTGAAACCTTGCTAACAAAGATATTCGCCTCTTGGAGCAACAAAGAAGGATTTGGACTTTATCCTGTGGTTAGCAGTTACAGATAGATAAGAGTAGATTACCGCTGATGAGAGCTGGGATCTTGTTAAAAGTAAGAAGGTCAGAAGTAATAAAAATGGGACAAATCAGTTTTTTTGTTAATCTAATAGGAGGAGACGGTCTTATTTCGTCTTCACTTCTTAAGAGCTGTCATGTAATCCAGAGTTTGTTTGGAAGAGGCTTGTTGGGCGATTCACAGATTGATTATAGTGTTAGTTTGCCATGTTCAGAGTCCACTCCAAGATTTAAGACTCCTCCCTCGTTCACTCACATGATAAATTCTTCCCAGCCTGCAAGCTCTGATGTTTTTAAAGATAGGAAACAGGAAGCAACGAGCAGTCTTTTACGTTGTGATGTATGCACAGACATGGGCAACGAACCCTCAAGTCATTATCAGGCAGAGGAGGATGAGAGCACCGTCTTTATCTCCAAGGAGGATGATGTTTACAGGATACCTGCTCTTTTTTATGACAGTGATAGGAAAATCCTGTTGGCCTTTGCAGAGAAGAGGAAGACCTCAAATGATGCCAGCGCGGTGGCCCTGGTTATGAAGACAGGGACGCTGATCGAGGATAAAACCACCCAAACAGTGACCACAAAGGTAATTAAAGTCTTATTGGCGCCCTCTTGCAGTATTACTTCCAAACTCAGCACTTCCATTTCTTCTTTTTTTTAGTGGTCAGAGCTCAAACTGGTGAAGGAAGCACATCTTGATGGACACCGCCCTATGAACCCCTGTCCACTGTACGACAAAAACAGCAAAACACTCTTCCTCTTCTTTATCTGCATCGAAGGCACTGTTTCAGAGCTGTTCCAGATATGCTGCAACCAAAACAAAGCCCGTCTCTGCTACATAACATCGAAGGATGGCGCTCAAAGTTGGAGTGAAGTGACTGATCTGACTGATCGCCTGGATGAAATCAAGAGCTGGGCCACGTTTGCTGTGGGTCCAGGTCATGGTATTCAGACAGAGGGTAATAGACTGATTGTCCCAGTGTATGGGTACGCCTCATGCTCTCCCTCATGCTGCTGTTTCATAAAATTCTACTGTTGTACCCCATATGCGCTCTATCTGTACAGTGACGATGAAGGTAAAACATGGAAGTTTAGCAGCAGGATTCAGAAAGTATCTCTTGAATGTGAGATGGCAGAGGTGACTGATGACTCGGGTTTTAAATCCATCTACTGTAACGCCCGCAGTAAAGGAGGCCACCGAGTGGAGGCTGTTGATAAAAATGACGGAACTGGCTTTGTGACTCTCCCAACTACTGACAAACTCGTAGAAACAGGTGGAGGCTGTCAGGGGAGTGTGGTGTCCTTTCCAGCTCAGAGTGAGGCTGCTCGTGCAGACAGTGATCAGAGCCAGAACCCAAACAGGTGGCTGCTCTTTACCCACCCAAGCAGTAAGACCAAACGCACTGATTTAGCGGTGTATTTGAACAAAACTCCAAGTGACCCAAATGCATGGAGCGAGCCCTGGATCATAAACAGAGGACCCAGTGCTTACTCAGACCTGGCTTACATTGGTGACGGATGGTTTGCCTGTCTGATGGAGCGCGGGCAGCAGAGTGAGATTGAACAGATAGCTTGCAAGGTTTTCAGCTACAGTGATGCTGAGCAGGGAACCGGACAGTGATATACTAATACCTCATCATGTTACACTGCAATCAACACATTGTCTTTACCTATTTGAATTAGAGCTTACAGAAACCTGTGGGAAAGAAAAAATGATGTTTTACTGTAATCAAACAGCTACTGACTAGATTCACAGTTTTTGGATTGAAATGTTTGATGATAAATTTAAAGTTTCAAACTGAGTCAAAAAGATTTTTTTATTTTTTGCATTTATGATACTGACTCATAGACTGTATATACTATGGACAACTTGGTTCTGCCTTCGGCCAGTATACAGATTTGAAGCCAATAAGTTCTTGTCCACTTATTAAAACCAGCACTGCGCAACAGTGTTGTACACATTTGGTGGGAGAGTTCAAACAACGTATAACCCAATCTTCGTACACCCAAAGGCTGTATCAAGCATCAATCATAGAAAACATGAACCCCGAATAACTTAAAAATGGAGCTTCACAGAAAAAAAAGGACTTGAGCACAAACCAGTCTTACTGTAACTACATGTCAACATCACAACCAGGGGAGAGAAATTTATATTCTGTGTAATTGATTTCTAAAGTTTGTCCACAGCTTCATTAGGATTGCTGGAGGAGGCGAGATTTATGACCTATACTGCAGCCTGTCACCAGAGGGTGCTGTTCTCACAGTGGCTTCACCCAGCAAAGTGGCAGACAGCGTCCATTCTATATACAGTCTATGTACTGACTGTAACACCTATGAAAATTGTTTTTAAATGTTCAAGTACTGAATACTTGTAATTTAAAAGGTGCCACACTGAAACGGTTTGTTATGTTGTACACGCCTGTCGAGAAAAATATCAAGTTATTAGACGTTTTATTGGTTTTCTTAATGATACAAGTCGATTTCGCACATTCCGAAGTGTGTGTCAACTCAACTTGATGATTTGTACTCGTGTTTGGTATATTTTGGTCTCTGTAACTTGTTTTATGTGACTTTCAAACTTCCTTTTTGGGGATTAATAAAGCCTCTTATTAATAAAACACAAGAAAACAACTCTGTCACCTAAAATATCAAAATTAATACTACTGATAAAACGATAAAATTAGAAACTGTTGTTCCTTTTGCTTTTTAACAACATTTCAAATTACTCAAAGGATAATGAGATTTGTGTTTAGCAAAGTTACAGCTTCATAGTAGAACATTTATGCACAGTTCTTATCTGGGAAAGCTAACTGAGGACCAGTTTAATGAATAACTTCACTAGTTTTGGTTGTGCTCGAGAAAGGGAAGTGAACACTCGCTACGCATGATAAGAAGAATGTTGCTCTTCCAAAGAAAGAGGATCAGGTTGGCACGCCCAGATCTTTACGAATCACAGAAAGCAATCTGTCATTGAGGAGATTATATATAAACTCTGCAAGTCTTCTTCCTTACTCCTTCACCATTACACACCAACTATGGAGGACGTTGCTCTACGAGATTCCCTACCACAGAAACAAACTCTCCTTACCAGCTGGACTTACAGGATTCCAGCTCTTTTATATGAGAAAGAAAGTGAAACTCTTCTGGCTTTTGCAGAGCAGAGGACATCTCCAGATGATGCCAGCTCCAAAAATCTGGTCATGGCAACAGGAAAACGTAAGAAAAGTGGCTCTGGAGCAGTGACAGTTGAGGTAACTACTTTAAGTAATTGTTTTCTGATATATTTGAAGCAACCGTTTTCCTTCTTGAGGTTTCAAATTAACATTTTTGTGTGTGATCTTTCAAGTGGTCAGAGTTCGAAGTGGTGAAGGAAGCACATCTTGAAAGACATCGTACCATGAACCCCTGCCCACTGTACGACAAAAACAGCAAAACACTCTTCCTCTTCTTTATCTGCGTTGAAGGCACTGTTTCAGAAAGGTGGCAGATACAAAATTACACGAACAAAGCCCGTCTCTGCTACGTAACATCAACGGATATTGGTCAAAGTTGGAGTGAACTGACCGATCTGACTGATCTCCTGGATGAAATCAAGAGCTGGGCCACGTTTGCTGTGGGTCCAGGCCATGGTATTCAGACAGAGGGTGGTAGACTGATTGTCCCTGTTTATGCCTATGTTTCCTACTGCAGCACAAGTTGTTGGAGCTGTTTTTGTAGATCTAAATGTTGTAAGGTCCTACCGTTTGCTCTCGCCTTGTACAGTGATGATTCTGAAAGAAAGACATGGCAGTTTGGCGAAATGCTTCCAGAAGTGTCTCTTGAGTGTGAGATGGCAGAGTTTTTTGATGACGCACAAAACAGCCTTATCTACTGTAATGCCCGCAATCAAAGAGGCTATCGAGTGGAGGCTGTCAGTGGTGATAAGAAATTAATTTTTCAGCCAACCAGTCCCAGAAAGCTCACAGAGACAAGTTGGGGCTGTCAGGGGAGTGTGGTGTCCTTTCCAGATCAGACTAAGACCAGTGATCAGAGCCCTGATCAGACCCCAAACAGGTGGCTGCTCTTTACCCACCCAAGCACAACCAAACGCACTGAATTAGCGGTGTATTTGAACAAAAGTCCAAGTGACCCAAATGCATGGAGCAAGCCCTGGATCATAAACAGCGGACCCAGTGCTTACTCAGACCTGGCTTACATTGGTGACGGATGGTTTGCCTGTCTGATGGAGCGCGGGCAGCAGAGTGAGATTGAACAGATAGCTTGCAAGGTTTTCAGCTACAGTGATGTTGAGAAGGGAACTGGAGAGTAGAAAAAAAGACCATAGAGTGAAAACAAAGAAAACACTGTAATGATCATGTGAGGCATTAATGAAAAAGGCAGTGATGTCTGTAGCTGCCTTATTGACTGCTGTTCATCTGGCTTAAATTTCTCTTTTTTTGTTATAACTTTGAGTTTAATGTTACCTGTGATTACCTGAAAATTAAATCTGCTCTGGATCCATTCCAAGACCTTGAAAATTATGTAGGAAATTATGTTTGATTCTTCTGTCTGATGTATTATTAAACAGATGTTCTGAAACATCTGCTTTTTATTAGAAATTTACATGCAGGAATGTTGTCTGTAAACTTTTAGAAAATTGTAATTCTGAATGTCTTTGGAAATAAGTAAAAGGCTTGATTTTCTGAATTTTGTAAACTCTCTGTCCATACTTATGGAAGTTAATTCTGTCAACAAAAAAGGTTGAGATGTTTCTTTTTATTATTGGAATCAAACAATAAAAGCGATTAACGAATGCCTGAGTGCGTGATTTGTCTTTTTTTTTTAAGTTTTGTTTAACTTTTGTTTTTTGTTCAGAGGTCTCAATTCAAATTCAACTTTATTTGTATGGCACTTTTCATACAAAAAAAATGCAATTCAAAGTGCCTCACAGAGGCTAAAAACAACAATAATGACAATAAAACCCAACCCTCCCATCCACACACACACCCATGAACTCACACGCACAAAGACACACACCCACCCTCACTCACCCTCACATACACACACAACCGCACACAGTGTGAGAATTTAAGATATATTGCTTGAGAGACATGGCCTGACACCGAGACATTACGCAAAGAAAGAGCCACCTCTGGGAGACACTGGAGATAAAAATAGAGATAAAAATGGTGAAAAGAGTAAGACCTGATGGACTAAAAACAAGAAAATAATATTAAGTGAACAGATAAGCAAAAAGTAAAAGCTCTTTACCATATAAAAAGGGGGTAAACGAAGTAAAAACCTGTGACGGGAATTAAGAAAAAGACTAAGGACAGAGATAATTAATAGAATGACATAAAATAAACAATAAGAACTTTGATTAAAATGAACATTTGCAATAAGAGAAAAATATAAAATGGCAATTAGTAAAAGGCCTGGTTAAAAAGGTGAGTCTTGAGCCTCTTCTTAAAAACATCAACAGTCTTTGCAGAGAAGAGGAAGACCTCAAATGATGCCAGCGCGGTGGCCCTGTTTATGAAGACAGGGACGCTGATCGAGGATAAAACCACCCAAACAGTGACCACAAAGGTAATTAAAGTCTTATTGGCGCCCTCTTGCAGTATTACTTCCAAACTCAGCACTTCCATTTCTTCTTTTTTTTAGTGGTCAGAGCTCAAACTGGTGAAGGAAGCACATCTCGATGGACACCGCCCTATGAAACCCTGCCAATTGTACGACAAAAACAGCAAAACACTCTTCCTCTTCTTTATCTGCATCGAAGGCACTGTTTCAGAGCTGTTCCAGATATGCTGCAACCAAAACAAAGCCCGTCTCTGCTACATAACATCGAAGGATGGCGCTCAAAGCTGGAGTGAAGTGACCAATCTGACTGATCTCCTGGATGAAATCAAGAGCTGGGCCACGTTTGCTGTGGGTCCAGGCCATGGTATTCAGACAGAGAGTGGTAGACTGATTGTCCCAGTGTATGGGTACGCCTCATGCTCTCCCTCATGCTGCTGTTTCATAAAATTCTACTGTTGTACCCCATATGCGCTCTATCTGTACAGTGACGATGAAGGTAAAACATGGAAGTTTAGCAGCAGGATTCAGAAAGTATCTCTTGAATGTGAGATGGCAGAGGTGACTGATGACTCGGGTTTTAAATCCATCTACTGTAACGCCCGCAGTAAAGGAGGCCACCGAGTGGAGGCTGTTGATAAAAATGAAGGAACTGGCTTTGTGACTCTTCCAACTACTGACAAACTCGTAGAAACAGGTGGAGGCTGTCAGGGCAGTGTGGTGTCCTTCCCAGCTCAGAGTGAGGCTGCTCGTGCAGACAGTGATCAGAGCCAGAACCCAAACAGGTGGCTGCTCTTTACCCACCCAAGCAGTAAGACCAAACGCACTGATTTAGCGGTATATTTGAACAAAAGTCCAAGTGACCCAAATGCATGGAGCAAGCTCTGGATCATAAACTGAGGACCCAGAGCTTACTCAGACCTGGCTTACATTGGTGACGGATGGTTTGCCTGTCTGATGGAGCGCGGGCAGCAGAGTGAGATTGAACAGATATCTTGCAAGGTTTTCAGCTACAGTGATGTTGAGCAGGGAACCGGACAGTGATATACTAATACCTCATCATGTTTCACTGCAATCAACACATTGTCTTTACCTTACAGAAACCTGTGGGAAACAAAAAATGACGTTTTACTGTAATCAAACAGCTACTGACTAGATTCACAGTTTTTGGATTGAAATGTTTGATGATAAATTTAAAGTTTCAAACTGAATCAAAAAGATTTTGTTTTATTTTTTACATTTATGATACTGACTCATAGACTGTATATACTATGGACAACTTGGTTCTGCCTTCGGCCAGTATACAGATTTGAAGCCAATAAGTTCTTGTCCACTTATTAAAACCAGCATTGCGCAATAGTGTTGAACACATTTGGTGGGAGAGTTCAAACAACGTATAACCCAGTCTTCGTACACCCATAGGCTGTATCAAGCATCAATCATAGAAAACATGAACCCCCGAATAACTTTTGAAAATGGAGCTGCACAGAAAAAAGAGGAATTGAGCACAAACCAGTCTTACTGTAACTATATGTCAACATCACAAGCAAGGGGGAGAAAAATTTATATTCTGTGTAATAAATTTATAAAGTCCACAGCTCCATAAGAATGGCTGGAGGAGGCTGGATTTATGACCTATACTGCAGCCCGTCACCAGAGGGTGCTGTTCTCACAGTGGCATCACCCAGCAAAGCGGCAGACAGCGTCCATTCTGCATACAGTCTATGTACTGACTGTAACACCTATGAAAATTGTTTTAAATGTTCAAGTATTGAATACTTGTAATTTAAAAGGTGCCACACTGAAACGGTTTGTTATGTTGTACATGCCTGTAGAGAAAAATATCAAGTTATTAGACGTTTTATTGGTTTTCTTAATAAGTCGATTTCACACACTCCGAAGCGTGTGTCAACTCAACTTGATGATTTGTACTCGTGTACTCTTGTTGTACTCGTGTTTGGTATATTTTGGTCTCTGTAACTTGTTTTATGTGACTTTCAAACTTCCCTTTTGGGGATTAATAAAGTCTCTTATTAGAAAAACACAAGAAAACAACTCTGTCACCTAAAATATCAAAATTAATACTACTGATTAAACGATAAAATTAGAAACTGTTGTTCCTTTTGCTTTTTAACAACATTTCAAATTACTCAAAAGCAAACTGAGGATCGGTTTAATGAATAACTTCACTAGTTTTGGTTGTGCTCGAGATAGGGAAGTGAACACTCCTCGATCAGCAGAATAAGAAGAATGTTGCTCTTCCAAAGAAAGAGGATCAGGTTGGCACGCCCAGATCTTTACGAATCACAGAAAGCAAACTGTCATTGAGGAGATTATATATAAACTCTGCAAGTCTTCTTCCTTACTCCTTCACCATTTCACACCAACTATGGGTGACGTTGCTCTACAAGATTCCCTACCACAGAAACAAACTCTCCTTACCAGAAGTACCAGCTGGACTTACAGGATTCCAGCTCTTTTATATGAGAAAGAAAGTGAAACTCTTCTGGCTTTTGCAGAGCAGAGGACATCTCCAAATGATACCAGCTCCAAAAATCTGGTCATGGCAACAGGAAAACGTAAGAAAAGTGGCTCTGGAGCAGTGACAGTTGAGGTAACTACTTTAAGTAATTATTTTCTGACATATTTGAAGCAACCGTTCTCCTTCTTGAGGTTTCAAATTAACAATTTTGTGTGTGATCTTTCAAGTGGTCAGAGTTCAAAGAGGTGAAGGAAGCACATCTTGATGGACACCGCCCCATGAACCCCTGTCCACTGTACGACAAAAACAGCAAAACACTCTTCCTCTTCTTTATCTGCGTTGAAGGCACTGTTTCAGAAATGTGGCAGATAAAAAATTACACGAACAAAGCCCGTCTCTGCTACATAACATCGAAGGATGGCGCTCAAAGTTGGAGTGAACTGACCGATCTGACTGATCTCCTGGATGAAATCAAGAACTGGGCCACGTTTGCTGTGGGTCCAGGCCATGGTATTCAGACAGAGGGTGGTAGACTGATTGTCCCTGTTTATGCCTATGTTTCCTACTGCAGCACAAGTTGTTGGAGCTGTTTTTGTAGATCTAAATGTTGTAAGGTCCTACCGTTTGCTCTCGCCTTGTACAGTGATGATTCTGAAAGAAAGACATGGCAGTTTGGCGAAATGCTTCCAGAAGTGTCTCTTGAGTGTGAGATGGCAGAGTTTTTTGATGACGCACAAAACAGCCTTATCTACTGTAACGCCCGCAATCAAAGAGGCTATCGAGTGGAGGCTGTCAGTGGTGATGAGAAATTGATTTTTCAGCCAACCAGTCCCAGAAAGCTCACAGAGACAAGTTGGGGCTGTCAGGGGAGTGTGGTGTCCTTTCCAGATCAGACTAAGACCAGTGATCAGAGCCCTGATCAGACCCCAAACAGGTGGCTGCTCTTTACCCACCCAAGCACAACCGAACGCATTAAATTAGCGGTGTATTTGAACAAAAGTCCAAGTGACCCAAATGCATGGAGCAAGCCCTGGATCATACACAGCGGACACAGTGCTTACTCAGACCTGGCCTACATTGGAGACGGATGGTTTGCCTGTCTGATGGAGTGTGGGCAGCAGAGTGAGATTGAACAGATAGCTTGCAAGGTTTTCAGCTACAGTGATGTTGAGAAGGGAACTGGAGAGTAGAAAAAAGACCATAGAGTGAAAACAAAGAAAACACTGTAATGATCGTGTGAGGCATTAATGAAAAAGGCAGTGATGTCTGTAGCTGCCTTATTGACTGCTGTTCATCTGGCTTAAATTTCTTTTTTTTTGTTATAACTTTGAGTTTAATGTTACCTGTGATTACCTGAAAATTAAATCTGCTCTGGATCCATTCCAAGACCTTGAAAATTACGTAGGAAATTATGTTTGATTCTTCTGTCTGATGTGTTATTAAACAGATGTTCTGAGACATCTGCTTTTTATTAGAAATTTACATGCAGGAATGTTGTCTGTAAACTTTTAGAAAATTGTAATTCTAAATGTCTTTGGAAATAAGTAAAAGGCTGGATTTTCTGAATTTTGTAAACTCTCTGTCCATACTTATGGAAGTTAATTCTGTCAACAAAAAAGGTTGAGATGTTTCTTTTTATTATTGGGATCAAACAATAAAAGCGATTAATGAATGCCTGAGTGCTTGATTTGTCTTTTTTTTTTTAAGCCTTTTATTTTTTGTTCAGAGGTCTCAATTTAAATTCAAATTCAAATTCAACTTTATTTGTATGGCACTTTTCATACAAAAAAATGCAATTCAAAGTGCCTCACAGAGGCTAAAAACAACAATAATGACAATAAAACCCCCATCCTCCCATCCACACACACACCCATGAACCCACACGCACACAAAGACACACACTCACCCTCACTCACCCACACATACACACACACATTGCACACAGTGTGAGAATCTAAGATATATTACTTGAAAGACATGGCCTGACACCGAGACATTACGCGAGGAAAGAGCTACCTTTGGGAAACACTGGAGATAAAAATAGAGATAAAAATGGTGAAAAGAGTAAGACCTGATGGACTAAAAACAAGAAAATAATATTAAGTGAACAGATAAGCAAAAAGTAAAAGCTCTTTACCATATAAAAAGGGGGTAAAAGAAGTAAAAACCTGTGACGGAAATTAAGAAAAAGACTAAGAACAGAGATAATTAATAGAATGACATAAAATAAACATTAAGAACTTTGATTAAAATGAACATTTGCAATAAGGGAAAAATATAAAATGGCAATTAGTAAAAGGCCTGGTTAAAAAGGTGAGTCTTGAGCCTCTTCTTAAAAACATCAACAGTCTCTGCGGCCCAGAGGGTCTCCGGCAGACTGTTTCACAACCGGGGACCAATGTTCTACTGCAGGAAGTGGTTGAATCGCCTGGGGGGGATTTTAGTTTGTTAACAACTTAATGGTTTCAAAGAACCAGGAAATCCTTTAAAAAAACTTAAACAAAGCAGGGTGCTTTGTCAATTTAATTTTTTTGTGCTGGCTTTTACATACATATAAAAAAGCTCTTAATGCTCAACTGTGTTCTTGTTCTATGGCTACAGTACGTACAGTCTATGGTACATACACAATGGGACATGAGGGGGGGTTTTCAGGAGTTGGACTTCCAAGAATTTCTGCAGAAAAACGAACTAGATTTCCCTGTGTCACCATCTTTGATATAGTCCCCACTCAGCAGTTGGTTTGTCTGTGGTTGTTTGCAGAAGTTAAACTCTGTGGGAAGGGGAAAGTTCACACAAAAGGCACCATTTTACCAGAATAGGTTAAGGTCTGTCCTATTTTATGATCAACGACTGAAGTACAAGACGGGCCCATATTAGCAAAATCAAGTTTTTCAAGTCTTCTAGTGGGGCGGGTTAACAGGTTCATGTTAGCCTCTGTAAACGGGGGAAACATGTCGTTAGAGGTCTTTTTTTCCAGACAGGTGGTTTAGGAGGCATACATGACACTGATGGAAGAGAAGGGGAGATGATTAAGAAATGCTAAATGACAGGTCTAATCTGCCAGCATTACAATACACTGCGTGGTACACTTTTGAGGATTAGTTTGATAATTTAACAACAACAACAACAGCAACAGTACTCTTAGTCAATCAAAATGTTATTTAATCTCAAACCAGAATTTTTAAGGAAGTAAGAGTGAGCTTTTGGGTGTTTTGGGGTGTTTTTGGGTGTGCGCAATTATTAGGCAACTCAAGGATAAACCAAACTACTCCCATCTCACTTCTTTATTTTCCGCTTTTAAAGTTAGAATAATTATCAAACAACTCAAACTGAAATAATTAATCAGTGACCAATATAGCCACCTTTCTTTTGAATAAAACTCAAGTCTTCCAGTGTCTGTGTTTTCCTTTACTGTACAGCTCAGTTTAAGAAGGGCCCACAAGTTCTTGGTAGGGTTTAGGTCCAGCGAAGAAAGGGGCCATATCATTATTCTTCAGTTTTTAAGACTTTTATTGATGAGCTACGCAGTGGAGTACATTGATGCATGTAATGGAGCACTGTTTTACATTAAAATCATGGTCTTCTTGAAAGATGCAGACTTTTTCCTTTACCGCTGTGTGAATAAAGTGTCTTCTGGAACTTGGCGGCAGGTTTGGGGTTGATTTTGAGTCCTTCTTCAACCCCAAAACATCCAACAAGCTCCTCATTAATAATTCTAGCCCATATCCAGGGGTGAAAGTAGGATAAGGTTCTTGCAGGTACTGTACCCGTAGGCTTTGTACAACAGGAGCACACCCAAGTTTAACGAGGTGACGACTAACAGATCATTTGAACAAGCAGCTGACAGCATACAGTACAGGTGCACCTCAACAAATAAGAATATTAAGTCTTCAGCCAACATCAGAAACACATACACAAAACCACCTAAAATTCAGCCAGTGAACACCTGTGGAGTGGACATCGGAGTGGTGACATCATATAAATACCTAGGTGTACATCTGGATAATAAGTTGGATTGGTCTAAGAATATAGATTTCATCTACAGAGAGGGGCAGAGCCGCCTCTTTTGCCTGAGAAGACTCCGATCAATAGACATCTGTAGTAAGATGCTGCAGATGTTTTATCAGTCTGTGGGGTCTACAGTGTTCTGTTCTACGCTGCAGTCTGCTGGGGAGGAAGCATCAAACACAAAGATGCAAGACGTCTGAACAAACTGGTGAAAAAGGCTGGTTCTGTGGTAGGACTCAAGCTGGATTCAGTGGAGGATGTGGTGGAGAGATCTACACTGAGGAAGGTGGAGACTATTCTCAAGAACATAGATCACCCACTTCACAACACCTTGATGGACCAAAGGGCAAATGGTGGTGGACAGCTCCTCATTCTTCACTGCAGGACAGAAAGATTTAGAAGATCTTTTGTACCAACAGCCATCAGGCTTTATAACTCTTATGTAAATAATAGATAACTTTTATAGACATATTACGTGAGACAACAGACAATTGAATTTCCCTTTGGGGATCAATAAAGTTCTTCTTCTTCTTCTTATTAAATATATTCTCATTTATGGGAGATGGGATACTTGAATAAATTGTGCAACAGAAGCCTGCAGATGACTATATATGTGATTTATTGGCTGGAAAATACAATAGGGACATAGTTTGAAGCCACATACAGCTCCTCAAATAATTTGAGAACAATAAATCACATTTATAGTCATCTACAGGCTTCTGTTGCACAATTTATTCAAGTATGCCATAAATTAGAATATATTTATTTCACTTTATTGAGATACACCTGTACTTAAACGCAAATGAAAAGATTCATTCTGCAACGTACTGATATTCAGATACAGTTACATTATCAGCCATTTGTCAGCAGCTTACCCACTCCTGGTAGCTTTGCTGCTTCACTCCTCTGCTCCTCAACTTGCTCTGATACCGCAGTATCATCATCTGCTGAATCGCTCTTTCTCTCTAACATGAAATCTACTTTTCTGCGTTTTGTTTTATTTCTGTGTTAAGATTGAAGCAGCCGTCTTTAAAAGTTCCCTCCTTCCGCAAAAGGCGAGCCCCCAGCGCCTAGGCAACCAGCGTCCAATCAAAAGTGCGCACTGAGCGTTCCGACTTCCGGAGGTTTTTTGTTTGCGGAAGTAAATACGACTCACTCGCGAGCAGCATGGTCCTATTGGATTACTACGGTTACAATGCAGAGAGCAGAAAGACGTGCGGCAACACGGTAAGCAAACGTAGCCTATATACATTGGTGAAAGTTTGTGTACCGCTGTGTACCGGCTGTAAACTGTGTATATCTTCCCGGTGCGACGTACCGCTGCGTACCAACGTACTTTCACCCCTGCTCACTCCACTACCCCACCTCCACCTTGCTGGCGTCTTAGTCGAAGTGCAGCTCTATGCCCATTGCTGATCCAACCACAATCCCATCCATATGAACCATCTAGAGTCACTCTAATCCCATCAGTCCATAAAACCTTTGAAAACTCTGTCTTCAGATATCTCTTAGACCTGTTGTGGCGTTTAAGCTGTCTTGCTCAGTGGTAGTCTGATTTCAGCCTTCTCTCAACTGGTCCTGTCTCTGAGCATGAGTTCAGTTCTTGACAGTTCTTGAATATGACAGTAATGGATTTCTCTGATTCTTCTCTGTTAATTTGGGTCTCAGTTAAACATTTGATGGTTCTGTGGTCACGTCCTAATATCTTGGCCATTTCAAGAGTGCTGAAAGATGTTTTCAAGTTTTTGACTTTTCAGTTTTCTGTCCCATTTTGCCTGAGGAAAAGAAGCTGTCTAATAATTGTGCACACCTGGCAAAGGATGTTGACCTCCTAAGACCACACTTTTCCTCATTACACAAACTCACATCACCTAGTTTGCTTAAAGTTTATTCAGCTTTGAGTTGGGAAGTATACTCTGTCAGACTCTGATATTGTTTAACAGAGACCATTCAGTTTTTGAAAAGACTCATATAGTGAAGCGTATGAATATTCTGTAAACCTCATAAATCATTGTCATATATGAGCTTTTTCAATATGTGCATGTTAGTGGTCTGTCATAAAGCATTTTGCTTCCTGTCTGAAATCGCCCTCACACAGCAGCTTCAGTGTCCTGTGGTCTTTTGGTTACATCCAGGTATTTGTGTTAAATACGTCATAAACTGTTTGGATAATTCATTAATATTTAAACTTGCCCAGGCTGAGTTATCATACATGTATTTTGGGATAGTAGTGAAATGATCCTTTACTTCAGGTTAAAAGTTCATGTTAGACAGAGTGGGGGAAAGCTCAGAATAATGAACTGAATACTGAGGTCAGGAACAAAAAAAAAAACAGAAGTTCAGAGAAAGAATAAAACAAAACTTCCTTAAATCAAAGATCTCACGGAGTCTGCAGTTTATGTTTCTTTTATTTATCAAAAAATAAAGAGAAAGTTTGTGGGAGAGATAAGCGAACACTGGAGGTCTTTGCTCCACAGAAGCCAAATAGTCAAATGACAAATTCGCAGGTCTGATCATTTCATGTGTTACTGAGTGTTAGCTGGTTACTTCATGTCCCACCCACCGCTTCTGCTGCTGTGTGAGTGTAGACTGGACTATTTCCACAGTTTTCTCAGTTCCCACTTCTGCTGTGGTTTATTTTTTCCCAGCTCTTTATACCCCGACACATTTCCCCTTAAACACAGATGGCATTGACCGTATGTTGTTTAACATTCTTCCTCTGTCTTGCGGATTTTTTTGCCTCCAAATGTTAAAATCACTTCATCTGCATTTAAATTCACTAATATATCGGTTTAATAATTTTCTATATTTCAAGAAATCCTCTGCTGAGTGCATCCTTACCCTCCTGAGACCCAGTCATTCACTTTGTGTACTGTAGTGCACATTGAGTTTTTGCTTGTATCTCTCACACAGTACATGCCACTCTGTTAAGTCCTGATGTTCCTTAGAGAGGACAACCACAGCTTTAAAATGATGTGACATGTGTGGGGGTGTGGCCTTGGCAACTACTCTTTTCCTTTATTTCAAAATGGCTGGTATCCCCACAAACACATTTTTATTTTTACAGAAAGGTAATCATGACATTTATGTTTGAAATTGTTTTTTTGTGTGTGTTAGATTTAGATTAATTTTCCAATATCAAAATCTAATAAGAAATTTGAGTGAGTTTTCAGAGCTAAGCTTATTTAGTTTAACAGGGAAAATGACTAATTTATTAATGTATACTGTAGTGCACATCAGGACTTCGTACTTCAGTTTATTTCACTTTTTTCTAGTAGACAGGTCTTTGACAGCGGCAGGGAGGATTCTTTTCAGAATCATTGAGGGAGACTTATCAACACCGTCATAGGAATCTCTGTGTACATGGCATGTCTAGGCTAGCCAAGAATGTACTGGGCTGCTAAAACAAGAGTCCCAGTTATAGCTGATTCCATGACCTGTGATCGTTTCTACAAGATCAGGTCTTCACTAAAAGGCCTGAAATGGTCAATAGTCCAAGTCCTTTCAGGTGCAGAATACCCGGGTTCAATAGTAAAACATATGTAAGATGTGTGAAGTGCCAAACTTTCCTCTGTGTCTCCAAAAAACCCTAGTGCTTTCTCAGGTATCATAAATGAATCGACTTTTGTCAAATAGAAAGCCCGGTGTCAAGTGAAAAGTTAGTAAGTTCTAAGTTGACCCAGGACCTACACGGTTTTTTATGTAAATATGTTCAATATGTTTTGATATACTACTTATAAAAAGATTTCAGGTGAGATTTTAATTTTCATAATCAGTTTATGAATTTTGTTAAAGTGTCAGACATTCGATCAGTGAAATCCTGTTGTGTACTGAGGTGCACATGTTGTAGATTTTAAATGAAATTAATTAAAAACAAAATAGTCTTTGCAATGTGTTTTTTACCACCCCAACTCTTGATTTATCTGAAAAATCTAAATCTAAACACTTTCTCTTCCCTGGGTCTCAGGAGGCTGTAGTGGCATGACTCTCAGTTGTTAAAGCATCTTTTCAGTCATTGACTCCCCATAATTACTTCCTGTCACAGAGGCCCTGCAGAGGATATTTGCTGTCGTTGAATAAAACTGTAATGGAAAAGTGAACTTCTCCCTATAGAGGGGTGGTCATTATTGAGGCCGCAGTTTGCAGACGGTGGAGGACCCTCTCTGCTGCACCACAATTCTGGGTGAGATTTTCACACAGGGTGACATCCTCAGCAAGCTTTTGTCGGGGAATTTTAGGAACTTGTAAAATTTCTACAAGCTTGATATTGTAGAGGATGAAACTTTCAAACCCCCCAAAAAAGCATTGTAAAGTAACATGTAGGCCATTCAGACTGCAGAGGCTAAAAAGGCACGTGTGGCATACATAAGGCTCTGTTTAAAAATAATCATAATAATCATAATAAAATAAATCTAATTAAAAATAATCAGTCCCACACACTCTGCAGGGATGTGACTTTGTGTGTTGACATTCATTCTGAATCCATAATTTTATGCAAATGGATTGACCAAAGCAAAAAAAAAAAGGCAAACATATGTGATAGATCAATATTAGGCAGCACAGTTGCTCTTAATTTAGTAAGTGTTTGTGACGGAAACAACGTTTTGTTAACTATACAGGACATTTTAATTTTGTTTTAGCTCACTGTAATCTCATAAATTTGCTGTAATTCCAATAATCAATGATTTTGATGTTTTTTTTAGTGAATGTTGGAAGTCATATAATGAAATGATTGTGCGTAAAAGTAGGTTGCGCAAAATTAACCGTCGTCTTTCAAATTTTGGCAAAACAAAGTTAGAAGTCTTCATTTAAATAGCCACGAATATATAGAAAATTGCATGAAAATGTAAAAATAAGTAGGCCTATACGGCTTCTTCACAGGCTGGTCAATGTGATTTTATTAACCCTGTGATTTATCATTCAAATCACAGATATTACATTTCATCTCGATTTATTACAAACATATTCGATTAATTGAAAAATATCAACCACTCAAAAATACACTCGAAATTAAAACAGAACAACGTGAAAGCGCAGAAGTCAAAGGAACGGCCTGTTTGCAATCTCGGAGCATCGTTAAAAATGTGGGAGATTTTACGCAGTGAGTTTGTCCTCCGTGGAGGAAGAAACAGAAGAGCTTCATAATATCAGAGTGAATAAGATGAGGCTTTTATGATCCCAGTGGGGAAACCGGACACATGAGAAAGAGGGTAGCTGGGTATCATTCTGCGCAGTGAGACAGGGGAACTCATGAACGATGAGTTTGGAGTCAAAGGCGGAATAGTGGCGCAGCGTCCCGGCACCAAATGTTCAAATGTGAGACAGGAGGGGAAGTTTTTCGTGAGGAGCGAGGAAAGCGCGGGGATGATGCTGCTTACAGGCGGGCTGGTGGGACTGTGGCGGCTTGAACGATTTCTTATCTCAATATCTTGGTAGAAATCAGGACCATAGAGACAAGAGCTCATCCTGTGCGCTCCGAGGAGAGGAAACAAGGGCATCATGCTGCGCTCCTGCGTCGCAGAGTCCTTCAGAGCTCCCACGGAAAAACTCTGCCTCCTGAAGCGTTTCCTCCTCCGGAGAAAACTACCGTTTTCAAACATATCAGCCGACATGGGGTCCAGCGTCCAGTAATTCCCTTTCCCAGGATTCCCAGGCTCTCGGGGCATTTTGACAAAGCAGTCATTCAGAGACAAGTTGTGGCGGATGGAGTTCTGCCACGCGGGGAACTTCTCTCGGTAATACGCAAAGCGCTGGCTTATAAAATCACAGATCTCACTCAGGGTGAGTCTCTTTTTGGGGCTCTGTAGGATAGCCATGGTGATGAGAGCGATGTAGGAGTAAGGGGGCTTCACCGAGGCCGTTCGGCTGCTTGGACCGTCCTGTAACCGGACTGCAAACTCCCCCACTTTCTGTTCTCCAAGAGCGCAGGATGAAGCGCCGTGCTCCAGGTCTACATCATTCCTCCCCAAATCGGTCAAATCAGTGCTGTTCCTCTCTTGCCTGAAGTCTGTTTGTCCTTCTACATCAATGTCCAGCGCGTTCTTGAGTTCTTTGTCCGGGGTCATGGTCCAGGGTATCCGATCCCCAGCAGGCGGTGATCTCGCCTGTCTGGGACACTGCAGGCACAAACCTCTTCTCCTCGTCCATTCACAAAAAAAATCTGCGCATCTGGTTGCATCCTCATCCTCCAACTTTCCCCCTTCCTCCTACTACTCCTCCTCCTCCTGCACAATTTGTCTCCATCAAAAACGAACCTGGAGCAACAAGTTGGACAAGCAAGGCCCCAGTGATCAATGTGAAACAAGAAACACATCAAAGATCTAAAACATGAGCAACAATCTTTGGGTCTAAATCGCTGCCTTAGTGATCTCTTCGTTTTTGTTTTACCTTTTGTTTCATGGCATATAGTCATTTTTGCTTTTGAAGTTTTATGGTAGGTTGCACACATCAAATGCTCTCAGTATTTATCAAATTCAACTTTATTTTTAAGGCACTTTTCAGACAAAAAAGCAGTTTAAAGTGCCTCACAAAGGCTAAAAACAACAATTAATAACAATAAATCCCAAACCTCTCACCCACACACCCACCCTTGGACCCACACGCGCACAAAGACACCCACACAAGCGCACACAGTGTGAGAATTTAAGATATATTGTTAGAGAGACATGGCCTGACACTGAGACATTACGTGAGGAAAGAGCTACCTTTGGGGAAACACTGGAGATAAAAGATAAAAAATAAAATGGTGAAAAGAAAGAGTAAAACCTGATGGACTAAAACAGGAAAATAATATTAAATGAACAGATAAGTAAGAGCTCTTTACCATGTAAAAAGGGTAAAAGAAGTAAAAACCTCTAAGACGGGAATTAAGAAAAAGACTAAGAACAGAGATAATTAATAAAATGACATAAAAGAAACATTAAGAACTTTTGCAATAAGAGAAATATAAAAATATAAAAAGGTGAGTCTTGAGCCTCTTATATCAACTGTTAAAGAAAGTATCTTGATCGTTTATTCTGCTAAAATTAATGGCCTCATCGATCAGTTTAAGTACACGTGTGTTTCCTTTGTCCTGTATTCAAAATGGACCTCAATAAAAGTACGAAAGCACAACCAAAGTGAGGACATTTTTTACGGTCACTGTGAAGCCACTCTAACTATTTGGATAGTACTTTGCACTCTGGATTAGATTAATTCAAAGCAAGTGATCACAAAAGTTGGACATATGTTTTATAAAAATCAAAAAAGAGAGAAATAGAGTATGATTCAGCAAAGACAACTTGGTCAAATGTAAAAGAGTGCAATGTTTGCATCTGAAATGTAAAGAAGTTTCGTGTCCAAAAACAATTAAACTACTTAAAGTACAAGAACCACATGGGACGTCATGGAGTACACACAATCATAACTGCGTTTCATTATATCTTTAATGACAGGTGCAGGTGAGACTCAAGTATCCCAAGCGTCAAAATTAGCACAGCCTTTCATCTATCGAGCTCATTTTATTTTCTATGTCCTCGGCTTGCATAATGATCATTTCCTTTGTCTGTTTCTTGTTAGTGATTGGTTCATCTCACTGCATAAGCGGGAAATCTGTTTCCTTGGAACTGGCAGTTTTCAATGAAATTATAGCCGAACTGTATCAATTGGCCACCCACTCAGCAAATGGGCCTGTGGGGAAGCTGTGGGGAGGGTCGTTAGTGGACTATTTTCCCCTGTACCTCCATATAGTTTAATGTGATCTGAGGGCGCTGAAACTCCAACATTGTTTTACAGTTGTTGCCTCTTTAGTTGAGACTCTGTATCAAGTGCAGGTCTTAAAAAAACGAAGAAACAAATTGGATGATTCATAGAGGATTTAATGCATCTCAAAGCACATGGAAAACTCACACAGATAATGCCTTTTCTCCTCCGATTCTCCAAAGATCAGTGCACCAATTAAACCAATATCACCCAAAACAAACGAGGCAAAAAGAAACTTCAAAACAACAACATAAATGATTTTAAACTCAAGCAACTCAAGCTAAACTTGTTAGACGATCTTACTGTCAGGAATCAAGAGAGGCGAACACTGTTGGGATTTTTGGTTAATCATCCATCACCACAGAACATTACAAACAAATAAACTTAAGATAAATTGGAGAAAAAATTCAACAAACACACCGTGCTTATCGTTTTTTCAATATGCCATAACAATTTCCAACTCCTGCCCTGTGCGGATTAGGAGGGAGTTCTTACAACATCAGTGCAATAAAAACTGAAGCACAGTTGATCTTTCCTCCATTTTTTTGAGGTGTGTTTTTTTTTAACCTGTTCTTTTTTCAAGAAAGCAAACTTATTTTCAGCTCCACCATAGAACAGAACCAAAGTGAGTATAGTCTTAAAACTGCTTCTACAAGTGTGTATGTGTTTGTATTTGTGTGGAGAATTGTCACATGTGGATATGAAGACCTTTGCGAGGCGTATGTTTCCTATACGGTGTGTTTTCGCTGGGCTGAGGTCAGCTTCACAAAGTTTCCACACTTGAGGCAGCATGAGTTAGAGTTACTCTCTTTTCTGGGAATATGCCAACAGTTGGCACAGCGCACTCTGTACTTCTTATACCTGCAAAAGCAGAGATAAAAAAAACACAATGCAGTAGTGTTTATTCCTGTAGCATCATTCCTCTTGTGTTATTTTTGTAGGTCAGCATTATCAAAAAAGGAAAAATCATCCTCAAACTAGTGCAGGGTGGAAATTATTGCATGTTCTTAAAGTGTATGTAATTTTTTTGTTCTCACACCTCTGCAAACGATTCAAAGTTACATCCGTATAAAGTGGAGTCAAACTGATTCTAGTTTTGACGTTTCAGGTGTTGTGCTTCAAAAACAAAAAGGTCCATAAACCACGATCACTTTCAGATCATACAGCAGGAAACCCCACAGTAAAATCTTGATTAACAGCTAAATGCAGTCTGATTTGAAATGTGTTTTTCTATTTGAAAACTAGTTTTCTAAAACATTTCTGTAATGATCATGCGGTATTACGAGCCATAAAGTTACAGCTTATTGGGAAAATCAAACCTCTTTCTGCACAGGTTAAAGTCAGTAAAGATTGAACTCTAGTGATCTGACAAAGTGTTGCATTTGTGTTCATGTGAACTACCTTATCCCACAAGCATTACAGAGCGGGGTCCCATCCTCTGCATCCCTCCACACGGGGGTCTTCGTGGTACAGCATGATGCACACATTTTATCCTCTGGGAAAGAAGAGAAAGAAATTCTTTATCTGCTGCAAAACTGAGTTTAACGGTTAACTCCTTTTTTACAATTTTTTTTTTCTAAAAATTAAAAATTATGTTTAAGTCATAAAATTAATACAATAGTTTAGGGCCTAAAACAGTCCAATACGTAGTGTCACTTAAAATGTCTTAACAAGACTTGTGCATTAAATAAAATGATGTTATTAGTTAAAACTATGTCTATGTTTACTCTAACTTTCATGTTGCAAGTACAGTTTGTATTAATTTAACAGTAAGAGAGGGAGCCTGAGCAACTGGCAAGATTGGGGGTTATACACTAGACTGCTAGATGACACCACAGCAACTGTCTTGTAAGACGGGGTGTCTGTCTGTCTGGCTTCAAAGTGATGAGGAAACTTTCTGCAGCCGAAAGAAAAACGTGCATGTTAGAGTTCATATTGAGTTTCTCACATTATTCTGACCGTGCCCTCAGGATATTTATCCAGGTCTCTTTAATGTTTGTCAAACTGTACACCACAATGTACAATGTTTAGTGAATGTGTGTGCCCATGTGTTGGTGCGGTGATGCCCTCAAGTGGAGAGAATAGGCTAATGCAAATGCATGAAGTTATGTTATTATGAAGCTGTACCAGCACTTATAGTTTTTATCATCTTCGTCTTTTAAACAAGGTCAAGTCTTTTTTATCTTTTAATGATTTTGAGAAGGTTATGCGTGCTTTTATCACAACTCTTCTTGATTATTGCAATGCACTTTATTTTGGTGCCAGCCAAACCTGTCTCAATTGTTTACAGCTTGTTCAAAATGCTGCAGCTCGTGTTTTATCTGGTCGCCGTAAACATGACCACATTGCCCTGATTTTAGCCTCTCTTCACTGGCTTCCTGTGCGTTTTAGGATTGATTTTAAATTTTAATATTAACTTATAAATCTTTAAACGGGCTTGCTCCTTTTTTATCTCTCTGACCTTTTAAAACTCCATATTTCATCTCGGACTCTCATATCCTCTGACCAGTGCCTTCTGACTGTCCCTAGGTCAAGGTTGAAGTTCAGGGGTGACAGGGCTTTTCCCGTTGCTGCGCCTAAACTCTGGAATGCTCTTCCCCTTCATGTCCAACTGTTCCCCTCACTGCCTGTTTTTAAATCAAATTTGAAAACGCCCTTTTACTCCCTGGCTTTTAACTCCTGAGAACTCGGCCTTTTAATCATGTTTTTATTGAACCATCTATGTCCCCCTGTTTTTAATGTGTTCCTGTGTCTTGTTTTATTGTTAGTGCTATATAAACAAACCTGAATTGGATTGGATTATAAAATTATTTTATTTATGGTATAAATGTGATACTTTTGATAAATAAATGTTACAAAGAAATATGAGTAAGCAAACTTACAAGTGCCTATTTCATATTTGTGTCTGGATTGAAAACTGATTACAGTTTTTGAATCCTTATGCGAAACACTTCACTCCCTTTTGTTAAACGTCATTTTAGACTCTATTCAGTTCACTCAAAGATAAGTTATATAACTTTACTGCAGGTACTTGAAATTCTCTCACTGGAAGCTCCGGTCATTGGGCTGCTGGTTCTTAGGGATCTCTGGGTAGTTCGCGTCCTCAGCTTGGGTTTTTTTACACTCTTGCGTAGCTCCTTACTGTTGGGGTACACAAGAAGAAGACACTTATCATGTGCGTACATTTCATTGAGCAAAATTCAACTTTCATCATCACCCTCCACAGTCCCGAGCAAAACTGTCACACATCCACCACTACCTGTACTTGGAAGTTATAAGAAGCCGGCACTGTCCACCCTCTAGCTCTGTGTCCATCCTGAAAATCACACCCTGGAAATCTGGATCTTGGATGTCCACACTCCGGCTTGGATGGCGTTGTTTTCTAGGAGTCTTGGTTTTCCACTTCTGTGTAGAAAGGGAGGCGAATTCCTCCTGACGTGCTGGTCTGGACTCAAGCTCTTGTGTTGCAGAATATGAGGGGTTTGAGAATTTAAGTTGTGCAACTTGAGCAGGTTTGTCCTCAATGGGAGCACCGGAGTAGCCTGATCTAGATGCTGTGAATATGTCATCTTGGTTTGAGAGTGAGTGGCAAGGTTCTGCGGTGTTTACTAAAAGACCTGAACTCAGAGGAGGCGGTTTTGTGTCACTTTGGAGTTCTGCAGTGACGAGGTTTTCATTGTGGTCCAGTGTTTGAACTGGTTTTGACAAAACTGCGTTCGTTTGTTCATTTGAATTAAAACGTAGTTTGGTATTTTCATTTAAGAGAACATTCAAAACATCTCCTTTAGTAGAGACACAATTATTACATGCCTGGTACAACCCAATTTGCCCGCTTTCATCGATCTTTGTGTCTTTGTGTCGTTGAGAGGATGTGCATACATTTTCCTCGGCCTGCTCTTGTCTCAAAGTGTTCGGTTTTTCAGCAGTCTGTGCCAGATCACAAAGGCCCATCTCAGAGTCCTCTACACAGCATGGTGGTTTACATCCATCAGCTCCTCTGCTGCACACCCCTTTCCTATCTTTACTAGAACTGACATCAGCTGTGAGAATTTGAGAATTTCCCCCCTGATCTGTTTCATCTGCCGATATAGTCGATGCACTGTCGATTGAATTGCCTAATTTTGCGGCGGATGTTACAAAACTTTGCTCTGACTCCTCTTCATCGCTGTGATTCAGAAGCTGCTCACACTGCAGGTTGATCAGACTCAGTGCTTCCCAGGGGCTGTTGCATTCAGGATGCAGATGAAGTGAAGCTGTGTCTTTGCTGCTGTAACTTTCCAAATTCACTCTTTCAATCTGTTTATAAGGTGATAAACAAGAAAAACCATGCTGGGGGGAACTATTGGGGATGTTCAATGACTGCGCATCCTCTTCTTCTTCTTTAACTATGAGAGGAATTTCTCCAGAGGTCTCATTCAGCCAGGTGGAAGTTGAATTTGTGTGGAGGAAGCTGTTGTGGATGGGAGAAGAAAGTTTAGCAACTTCTTGAAAAAGGTAGAAAAGAGCTGGGTGGGAAGCATCCTGGTCCACAGCAGTATGGTTTCCCTGGATGAAAGCAGCTTGTGTCCTTGGGCCTGTGCTCATGCTGAAACACTGTCTGCTGTGTAAATACAAACAGAAATTGGTTTTAGATCAATTTTTCCTTAGTTTGTGTTCTAGAGGGGCAATTTGTTTTAGAGTCAGCATCGAATAAAACACAGAGAATTATACAACAGGCACTGATATCCACACTAAAATGTACACCTCAAGGTGACAAAGACTCGTGTGATGCCATCAAGGAAGTTAATGGTACCAGGGACTAATTATTGTTCTTTTATTTTAGTGCTGCATCTTGGCAGAGTTTATCTGCAACCAGATGGCAGCAGCTTGAAAACTACATTTATTTTTCTCTAAATTAGAGGTCCAAACCAGCAAATAAGAGAGACTCGACAAAACAGGAATGCCACCTTTTCATTGAAGCAGGGTGGACATTTAATTGATATATTGATGCAAATTTTGCCTTATAAAGTTGCATTTATTTCAGGAAGTGTATTTCCTTTTTTAATTTTTTCTCTCTTTTAAATTTGCCTATATATATATATATTGAACAGTTTAGCTTATACACATTTCTGAGTTAAAACTACCACACAGAAATACAACTTTTCAACTGAAACAGGGTGGACATTTAATTGATATTATGCAAATGTTGCTTTATAAAGTTGCTTTTTCTAACTTTTGACTTTACCTATTTACTGGTAATATATTAAACAGTTTAGCTTATATACTATTTTTATATCTTACTATATTTCTCAGTGAAAAACTACCACACAGAAATACAACTGTTCAACTGAACTGCTCTGATATATCAGATATGTACCTTGTGATAAGAGGAGAAAAGTAAACTGTGCTTCATACAAAAGGGTCACAAGTCAAAAAAATCTGGGAGCCAGACTTGAGACTCAGGAACAATAAAAACTGAGCTTAAAAACACTATTTAAAAACACTATTTAAGCCATTATTCCCACGAGTGAACCACAAATGGATGCGAATAAATTGTCCTGTTTAACATCTTTCCTCTCAACAACACTGACTTTAAATTGGACTATATAGAGCAGTTTCCATAAATTTGATTCTTTAAGGCCTCGTTTGATAAAGCTCAGAGCTAACAGGACTCTTTAAGCTACAAAAAAACAGAACATAGTTTCCTCGAGAACATTTATGATATAAAGACACTTAAAGACACGAAACAAACTTATCTCATTGCTATGTTTCCTTTCTCTGCACTCACCGACGGAAATGTAACCAAACACGGGAAGTAAATGTATCGTGGTACACAAGTTTTACAATTTTCTCTCTGGAATCATTGAGATTTTCGCGGTTATCAATTAATTCGAGGGTCGCGAGCGCATTGAATTGCGTCAGAAATTGAATTAATTTGTTTCCACATTTACATCCGTAGGCTTTAATTTTACTTTGGTTTAAATGAAGTAAATGAATTCAGTTAGCCTATTAGCAATTTGTTGTATTTCATGTGTTTACTCTACAAAAACCGTCTTTAAAAGGCCGGTTTGTTGTGTTTTTCCATCTGTGTCCATTTTTGACATGTCATGGCCTCGGTGGCTAGCAGCAGTGTTATGATTTGACTCTAATGACAGCTCAAAGAGTGATCAGCAGCAGTACTTCAATCAGTCTGTAAAGTCCACCTGGTCAACATGTCCCTGCGATGCATTTCTGCAGAAGCTCACCTTAGATCTCCACATTGATAATCCACAAAATGATCAAGTATGCCAATTCTGGTGACCCAGAACCGATCGAGGTGGTTGCTATGACTCCTGGGGCTTCACATCGGGATTTGCGCGGGTGTTTTTGGTTTGCTAGATGACCCCAGCTGGGGAATAAAAGAAACGCCCACTTGATGGCTGCACACGAAGTCTGTCTTTGGGGAAACACGCAGTTAAAGTGAAGATGTTTGCAGCTTTGAAAACAATAAGAGGTGCAACTTTTCTTTTCCTTAAAACTGATTTTATTGCACAACTTTAAATACTCATAACTTCTATTACACAATGCACAAACGAAGTACATTTCTGTGTAAATTGGACATGTACAGTAGGCTTAAGTACAGAATGGATGGTGGTAAACTCATCATCATATGGCAAAATGAAGCCCACCAGCTTCAAAGGGACTCATCTCCACCTGTTCTTGATCAGAGCACACCTGAACCAGAGAAACTAATCAAAGTCACATCACTGGCATCAAGGAAGGCTTCAAACACGCAATTTTCCATTAATTCTCAAACACAATTAACCGATCCATGTTTTGCGATGAAATGTTTCGACAGTTTAAATCTTAAAAGCTATACTTTAAGGTTTCAGTCAATTTCTACTTTTCCAAATATACTTTCTATAAAATATGGCTGTTTCTTCAGGTCTTAGATGGTTTAAGACTTATGGAAAACTGTCCATCTGGTACTTATTGATATGCCATGACAACACTAAGAAATGAAAACGGCTCTTTAAATGAAAGTTAAAGGTATGCATAGTGTTTGACAAGTGAATCTGGGTGACAATGAAAGACTGGCAGAAATAAACTAAGAACACCATCTCATGATAATTGTGCGTATGTGAGCTCTAAACAAGGAATGTTCCATGAAACGGCACAAAGACAAACTTTGTCAAAACTTGCGCTGCAATGTCTGAAACAAAGATTATGCCTGTACAGTGGTCTGGTATTTTAACAAGAGCAGCTTGTGAGGTTGAATAGTGCTAGCCTGAGAACTCTCAATATAAATAAATACACTCAGTCATACCACCGTGGATTTCTTTGGAAGTAACCATTAATTCATCTTCAGTGAGACTCCTATTGTAAATGGCTCTGACGGAGCTCATCTGCAGGCTGGTCCTGTCATTGGGTAACTGTGAGAATCTGTCAGTTGTCAAGGAGTCTTGGAGCTTGCTACGGACTTTGCTTCCCCAGCCGTGCATCTCTTCATTGTCGTCCCTTTCCTCAACCAGCACGCATGTTGTCTGGCTCGCCGTCCTACTCTCCAATTCTTCTCCAACTCTCATCATCTGTGCCTCTTCTCAGTGAGGTTTGGGAACATGCCCGTCCACATAGAAGTTTCTGGTAACTTTGGGCAAGGTGAGCTCCATGCCCTCCAGCTCTGGAGTAAGAGTTATCTGACATCCCAGCCTGGAGTTCTCCTGTAACATGGGCGCCATGTCTAGCATGTCATCCTCCCTAAAACACCAAAATATCCATCAGTACTTAACAATGACCTTCTTCATCAGATAACTTGTGTACCAAGGTACAGATTTCTTAGTAATGGGAGATACTGTCGTAGTAGAGTAGACCTACCTCTCATCAGGTTCTGGTAGTTTGTCATAATGGGCCGGACTCACATAGACCTGACATGTTGAGCAGGCTAGTGATGCCTCGCATGCTCCTTCATGGAAGAGAAACACAATAATGAGCGTTAACTGTCTTCTAACTATGCTGTAAGTAGGGCTGAGCGATATGAGAAAAAGTTTATCGCGACATATACCTATATCACAATATAAAAAATGAAATCTAACAGTGTTTATTGGTCGCATGTCTTTTGCAATACAATAAGCTACTGCATCTGTGAGGTCTTTGTGTCTCTTTGACGTTTTGTCGTAAGGCGTTGCACTAGAGAAAGCGGACTGAATGGTCGGCTGTTTCGGCTGCACAGGCGCCACGGGCTCCTTGTTCTGCTCTGGGTTTGTAACCTTTTGCATTACGCGTGCTCTGCCGTGTGGCACTGCTTAAGGTGGTGAAAGAGATTTGACGTATTCCCCAACTTTGTGAGAACACGTACTCGACATAATTTGCAGTGCACATTACTCTGCTACATGTCTGACCTCAAAAAACCAAAATACCTCCACACCACCTACGTTTTTGTCCCTTTTCATTGGCTATTCGTATAGTCTACCAAAACATGGCAGAATGACGTCTATTGAAAAGCATGTTAACCATGTTTTATATTGATATTGAGGGAAACTAATTTTTGATGTACATCGTTATCATTGTTATTTCAATATTAACAGAGTGTAAATGTGTGAAATACCTTCCAGTTCAATTCCATGCTTGTGAGCCAGATACAGGACATTGTCTCCCACTTTGGCCTTGATTGGGATCCTTTTGCCAGACCGATCTACATACACCACATTCACCCTGTAGAGCAGAGAATTACAAATAATTTTGCTCAGTCGCAGAAGCAAACGACAACAACTTTCATCATGTAACTTTCTTTTTGGGAAGTAGTTCAAACCCTTCGCCACTGCATGTAATTACTGTCTGTCAGACTGTGATCTGTTCCTCATCCCTGCTGCTGTTATTTCAAAGTGACAAAGGTGCACGTGGTTTTGTTACGAAACAAGATTATTGCTCAAATAAAGAATTTTCAATTTTTTCAAGAAATACAAACTCAACATTGTTTTTTATCAGCGTTTCTTTAAATCCTTATTTATGTGTTAAAATGTTTATTTACATTGCTTAGAGTACTATTTAGAGTGTTTATTCAGTGTAAGGGAGAGTGGGGTAAGTTGAGCCAAAGGGTAAGTTGAGCCACCCTGTGTTGCTTGGAAATAGTAAAAGAAATTGAACATGTGACTAAATATTTAGGAGTCTAAATATTTATTCACATGGGCATCAATTCATGGAGTCTTAAAAGGTTAGAAGCAAATTGGTGAGGGGGTTAGACATTTATTTCATTTCATTTCCTTTTTATTTGTTAAAGAGGGACAGTGTACATTAATGAACATTTTAAAAAGATAAAATGTAAATGGACCCAATTGTAGCCACAAGGCTAGTTTCCATTGGTAGTCCCCCTGCCAGAAGGAACTACCTAAAAACTACCTAAAAAGGTGGGAAATCAGCAACTACATAAAAACATACATAATACACAATATTTAAAACATCAACATTACCCACCCGAAAGCACGCCAACCAACTAATGACAACAAGTTTGGTTTTCAAGTAACCACCTCTTCAAATTTACTTTAAATGCTCTGTATGAATTGGACTCTCTTATGTTTTGTGGTGTTGTGTTCCAATCCTTGCCTGCCCTACAAGAAAAAACTGACTGACCAAATACAGATTTTCTAAGTGGGATCTGGCAGTCTCCTCTGGCCGCCCCTCTAGTACCACTGGTTGCTGGAGATCTAAACTGTATGAGGTTGCAGAGTGGGGGCGGAGCTACCCTATGACGGATTTTACAAAAATACATTTTTTATTCTTGAAAGTAAATTTAGTCTGTCATTAGTTTTATTAGAATTGTTTTCAGACCAAAAAAAGATCATTTTAAATTTGTTTTATACGTCAGTTGTGGTATCTATGAGCTACAACATGAGGTCAAAAACCTAGAATAAAAGTCCACCATTTTAGCTTAGAGGACTAATGAAGTCATCATAGTAGTTCTGGGGTAAGTTGATCCAGTGACTCAACTGAGAAAGTAAAGAAGTCTGATGAAAGGATCAGAGTTTCAGTTCAGATTGTTGAAATGTGTTACTTTTTCTTTTCAAGAATACAGTTGTGAATGTTCTAAATCACTAAAAGGCATTCTCATGTTAAAATGACTTTTTACAAAATAGCTTTTTAGCAGTTATATGCAATAATAATAAAAAGAATTATTGTACCAGATGAATAGAGTATAATAGATAAAAATACACATGAATGCGAAGAAGTGACTGTTATTTAGGGAGAGAGAAGGTGAGGGGGGGCTGGGGTGGAGAGTGGGGGGGGGTAGTAGGGATACGGCTCAACTTACCATAGGAGACCACTTGTTTTTGTCATGCTATATTATCAAGACAGTTATGTTTACACTCGTTCTGTTGGTTTGCAGGGATGCACATCTTCAATATGTGCAGATACACAAGTTAGAGACAAAACTATGATTGCCTTGATATAGTGATCCAAAATATGAAAAATGGCTCATCTTACCCCACTCTCCCCTAGTGATATACGTATTTTATGTTGAAATCAGCCATGAGTCATGTCACTATGTTGTATGAAAAAAAAATGAAAACGCTATCTCAGCATGACTAGGCAAATGTTTGAGCCACTCCAGTTCAGCTTTCTCAAATGTGGAGAGGACTTTTTTAATAATACTTTAATAATACTTCTCCGTGAAGTGGCATTATAGCCATTTAGAGAGTATTTGCAATGTGTACAGCACCTGTTGATCACAATATTATCTCACAATTCGTGTCCTAGGAAAACTCACACATCATCCGAGTCTTCTGCTCCGGAGGTCCCTTCTTCGCTGTGATAAAGACCTTAGAAAGAAAAAAATGAAGAAAAAAGAGCGAAGAAGTGAGAAAAAGGACGGAGTGTTTTCAGATTCAGATCAGAGGTAAGAAAGTTTCACTTAGTGCACAAAGTTCTACAAGCCGGTTTAGGACTTAGGGGTTGAGGTTACATCACTGTTATTGAGCAAACTTTAGACTCAGATAACTTCGTTAATTGTTCGATTAATTACATGTCTGGATTTCTCGACGATAGCGTGAACTACGTGGAATTTAATGGCATTTATCCAGATAGCTTATACCGTAAACAAATATTCGCAAGTGAATCTACAGACTCTATCAGGCTAACAGTGTTAGCAAGCTGCACTCCTCACCTATACTCGTCTGCAGGTGTCGATTAATCGTCTGAAAGTTGTCAAAGGAGCGATTTCTCAGTGAGTTAGCGACGATACCCACGCAGCTCTTTAACCGGTGGAATGGACAAGTGCTGCAGTCTGGAATAACACGCGAAAGTCTCAAAGTCAGTCCCATGCTCGACCGGACTGCAGCGGAGGCCGCCATCACTCTGTTTATGTCGCGTGGGTCAGTGCGACCAATAGGAAAAGACGTACATGGGAGTGCGTCGGTGCTGTGACGCACGGTCTTTCAAGCAGAGGGCGCTGCTGATTCATACGCTGTACTGTCGAGAGAGAGCGAGAGAGAGAGAGAGAGAGAGAGAGAGAGAGAGAGAGAGAAAAAGAGAGAGAGAGAGAGAGAGAGAGAGAGAGAGAGAGATGTCTGTTTGGTTTAGGGCACAGGTATCTGGCCGTTGGAACAATTACCTGGCCCACAACATCATATCATATTTGTATTATTATTGACACACCAGTATGAAGTCTGCAGATTTCCTCCAGTTTAATAATGTAAACTTTAGCACCATTATCTAAAATGTCCTTAATAAGCCACAAAAATCTGGGGTATTAAAGATTAAGGAAGATTTGATAAATAGTCAAGGATGTGGGGGAAAAAATATTTGGTGTCTTATTTCATGTTTTCAATTTTGCATTTCAAGATTACAAGTCAAACATGATTGGATTTTTTTATTTCATGCTTTGATTTTGTTCAATCAGTATTTAGACTTGTGTCATTTTTATACTTGAGATTCCAATTTTAAATTTTAAAGGTCCTTATACACTGGGGCTGACATGGATATAGAACGAGAAATCACAAAATACTTTCCACCCATTCCTGGGGCATGTGAGTCTTCCCTGGTGAAGACTCAGGGTCATTGGCACAATAACAGCTGCAGGAGAGAGAACCAAAATATAGCAGATTTTGAGTGAGTAAAAATGAGCAGCTGACTAAAATATTTCTTATTACCATATGAATTCCCTTCAAAGTTACTACTTTGTGATAGTTATTCATAACCACTGTGCTAAATAAAGATAACATGCAAATTCCAGGACCACTCTTACTGACCTTATTCCCTACATGCAGCTATCAAATCCACCCAAACCTACTTTACCCTCTATCACTATTGCAGGGTAAAAATCACCCAAACGCATGCCTGTAGGAAAAAAAAGGTTTTGGATCAGGGAAACAAATATGCCTTCAAAGATGTCAAAGGCAAACCCAGAGACCCATGATTTTCAGACAAACGCAACATGATAAAAATCACGTAAACATGTTTGGTCAGGGGAAAATCACCCGGCGATAGTGTTCTAGGGTTAAAAAAATTCTCCATCACAAATAATTTTTAAAAATTTACAGATTTACAGAAGTTAGGCCAACAACTGAAGCCTATTTTAGGAACAGAAAGTAATAGTATTCACATAAATTAAGCATAGCCAGTTTTAGATGTCTTTACATTTAAGATCAATAGTGTAAATACATTGACATATAAGTTATGCTTTTATATACCACATGAAAAAAGTTTGCCTATGATATCTCAGTATGTAATATGTGTCTAAGCCTCTCTCATAAAAGTAGGAACTAATTGGGTATAATATTTTAGATAAGATAAGATAAGATGTTCCTTTAATCGTCCCACAGGGGGAAATTCCAAATTTACAGCAGAATAGTACAGACATGAAAAGATAAACTAAAGGATAAGGAAACTTAGAGTTGAGTTAAGAAAAAAAGAAACAGATATGAGCCATATTTACATGTGTACAGAATACACATAATAATACGATTTATTAATTTCCTTCTCTTATGGGGTTCAGGCTGCCTTGAAAATATGAGAATAAAAACCCCAGTAATATACCAAGATACACTGCCCCAATTGTTGCGTTTACCAGTAAATGGGTTTGAGAAAAGGAAACTTTAATCTGTTATATAGATCTCCCACCGGAAATCACACATTACTTTAAGAGACGTAGAGGGGGGTTTTTGGTTACATGGTTTCATGCAGTGGTGACAGACTGTTTTGAAAAAAAAAACAAAATGTGTGAAGTGGATGGTGTTTGCTGGTTTGCTTTTGTGCGTCGATTTATTTATCTCAATTTTTCTTAACATCGTGGTATCCCTGCTCTGCTTGAACTGAAGCTTGGTACAGTCCTAGTCGGTTAAAGCTATGGTTAAGTTGAGAGAGAACATGTTTTTTCCACAGTTTAAAACGCCAACTAACTCTAACTCTATGAAGTCCCAGCTCTGTTTTGAGCTGCATGCTGGTAATCTATATCTGTAAATACATGTTCTGCCTTGTTTTGTGCACCGTTGAGCAACACAAACCTAGAAAAGATATCTGATGCAGGCTGACAGTAGAAAACTAAGAGCAGTGGTGTGTGAAGCTAGGGGGTGATGTTATGACTGGAGGCAGGTGAGCATTCAAGGTGCTCTTTTTTGGTTCTTCGACATCTGCTCGAAACGGGGAGGAAGTTAAGAAAAAAAACATAATTTATCCCTTTAATTCCCCATAATCCCTCAACAGGCGGGATATGACTCCCACAGAGAAGCACCGGGTTGATATTTAAATGTGATTTATATGTTGTAGTGACTGATGAGTATAATTTTAGATTATTTTCTCATTTTTCCTCAGTGAGCCATAATGATCTGTTCTCAAAAGGATACACACTCACATATTGGGTTTAAATATATCCCCCTGGATCTGCCGGAGGTTATTTCCATATGTGAAGCTGTAAAATAAGAAAAAGGGGTCCATTTTTTTGTGCTGTGAATTCCCCAACTGGCAAAAAGATTAGTACTCTTTATAAACAGTAAGAACACATAATGAAACACCATTACACTTTCACTTTTTCTACACACCTGTACAGGATTAGTGTCCGGGGACAGTTTACTTGTGTGTCTATGGAGGCTGTTTAATCCACTGCAGGGCCCTTTAGTCCACGGTCCTGCAGGTGCGTGTGTGTACTGGTGTGTGTAAGCAGAGGTGTGGTGGGTGGAGGTTGTTACACTTGACTTCATTACTAAGTGGCCTCTAGCTGTTCCCTTCCTCAAACTCCCTGTTGGCTCCGCAGGGCAATCACTCAAACACACACTAACTTCTCTGACCAACGTAAACATGTACATCTAGACAGGGTTTCAGTAATCCATCTCAATCTCCCTAAGAATATTATGTGTAAGCACATAGTTTATTGTTCAGAGACATAAAGTAGAGAAAACACAACATTTCCCAGCATTCCTTTGGGAGAAATAGAGTTTCTCCCAAAAGCACTCCTGTTATTGTTTTTTTTTTTTTCTTTTACAACTTTCCCCTGATTTATCACAACAGAAATGAGCGATGTATTTATTTTAAGATAAAGATATTTATTTATTATTTAAGTACTTGATGTTTAAAAAGTCTATGTGAGTGCAGCTCCGTCTAATGATTGACGACCATCTGAGGTGACAAACCAGAGCATGCATATTTCCATAATAAACACCATATTTGTCAATCTTTCCTTTCTTGAATTTACTTGGAGGTTTACTTTGCATAACAAAATGATACTTTTTACATTTTTAAATAATAATGAAGAAATCGAGACCCGACGTAAACACGGTCAAAAAATATTGTGCTCTCAAAAACCCACAGCTGCACTAATTACCCAAGAAAAACCTGCAGGTCTCACATTACACGTCTCCTCCAATAGGAGTGCTGCAGTAGTAATCGGCTTCAATCAAACTTTAAAGTAAAACTATACAACTGTTCAGTCTCTTCTAATCAGGATAAATAACAAAAGTGATGTCAAATTATCAGTCGTGCACAAATGGCTCTAACAGTCTATTATGGAAAAGGGTGATTGAGTCAGAAAGTTTATAGTCTGCATCTTCAGTTCATTTCCCCTATTACTATATATTTTGTGAACACATTATCACCTATGATGCATACTGTTGTGTATTGCGGTTCTATCGCTGTCTTTCAGGGAAACGTCTGCTCTAAGTTCCAATAAACCAAGGTGTTGTTGTTGAGGAAGCCGTGAGATAAAATGGTGCGGTGTGACATCATCTACAAAGCTGCGTCTAAAGCTGCAGCGAAGCGAACATATTATTTATAGTTCAGTACTTCGTCCACTTGCTTTGTATATGTCATGATTTTCTGCAAGCTGCACATCTACCAACCTGCCGAGAAGGACATGTTGAGACTACTTTGACTCTTTTCCACTTAATTTTATCGTATCTTCACCTTAATGTTTGAAGGCACAGTGTATGTGTGTGTGTTTGTGCATGTGCATACCTGCAGCAGTTCAAATGTGCAGCATTGTGTAAGCTGCCTAATGACTCCCTCCTCTCAGATGACTCACACAGACTTCTGAGAGAAACTAATTAGAAACAGGTTGAAGAAAAGAAAAAGGTGCCCCTATAACCTTTCATGCTCTGCTGGTGTGGGAATGCATGTTTCTGAGTCAGACACAAGAGAAACTGTGTGAGTAAACACAGCCGCCCGGGAGCTGGCACTGTTACAGCGTCTTAGTCAAACTCTTGTGATGTTTATGTGTCTGGGACACTTTCTCTCTTGTATGTCATACAGCTGTAGGAGCGTTGAAGGCACAGCAGGCAGTAGTCACAGTGTTTGTTTTAGGTTGCAGTCTGGTTGTGGTTACGTGGTTTCAGCCTGAGTGACTACCACCCGGCCTGTGATGGACAGCACTGACCGCTAACTGTTGACCTTTGACATCAGATTGAGGAAGGTTGCAGAGGGGGATCGATGACTCTGTAGGTCATCAAGGTGAAACAAATCATGTCAACAAATCCAAACACACTGAAAAAGTCATGGGTCCAATTTCTATTATGACTCTTTTCTTACCTAACTTTAGAAGACCACAGCTAAAGGTTCTTTCACACCGGGAGCTTTTTTTTCATGCAATTATTTTGGATGTAAATAATTTTTTTCGAACCCGTATCCTGTCAATACAAGCGTTCACACCATCGATGTTTTCCTGTCCTGAGATATTGCAACATTTATTTTTTCGTATCATGGTCGATTTTTCTAAAGTTTCGCATACTGTGTGTCCACTTCTGACCAATCAGATTTCGTGTTGTTGCGACGTCAGATTCACCGGTATATCCAACATGGCCGACCGGCTGATTGTTTACGTGTCGTAGAACAGAGTGCTTTTTGATAGAAGACACAAATATTACAAAGATAACGACCGGAAGGACAACTTGTGGA